CTCCGGCTCCCTGGAGCAGAAGTGGCCTGCTCCTGTTTCAGTAGTTATTGATGAGGTTTGGAAAAAAGTCTTGAGTCTCTTTGTCCGCTTTGTGCCTTGGTTATTGACTTGGTGATTGATTTAAGTCTTCATAATTAGCAGGCTTAATTTAATTAAAGTGCAACTTAACAATACAGTAAGCAAAGGCAAAGGCAGCTGTGTCACTGATAAATCAGGCTCAGGCTTGATATAAAACAGGCAGATGATGTATCCGTATAGCAGGTATCCTCGGTGTAGAGAAAAAAAGAGTCCAACATTGAAGTCAAGAGACAAAGACCAAGAATAATAGAAAAAGGAGATACAGCGCTTTGTCTAAATACTGATCCACAGAATGGACTCTTTGTCCCTCACCTCTACCACTAGCTTTGTGGAAGCTCATTGCTGACATGGACAATGACTCACATCTCTTATTTAATTTGCTTAATATAATAAGAAACATGTCTACCCATATAATGTGGATCATCACAAAATTCCCGTTAGAGCCCAGACTGAAAGCAAAGTGTTTATAGGTAAAATAAAGTCTGCCAGATTTAAAATATGTTGAAAAAAAAAACATTTATGGGAACAAAGAAAAAAAATGAACTACAACCTGTTTATCATCTAGGTTTATCTCTTGTTTCCTATTTCTATTTTAATCTGAAAATGTTTTAATCAATTTTATTCCCCTACATAACCGTAAATTTGTGTCTTGCAATTCCAATAGTGTAATGCTGGCTTTAAAAGAGATAGGGTTAAGGGTTAAGTCTGGTGAAGGGGGTAGGGCTGGATTGTGAGGTGCAATCTTCATGTATGTTCTAATCATAGAGGACATTTTTGGGTCTCATTACCTTGTGAATGTGTTTACATCTGAGAAAGTATATGTGGGGAAAGGACAGAATAATACATCTCTAGTCATTTATCAACAAGTTATGACCAATCCATCATACATAATACACGCATTAATGAAAGAAAATCTGTTGTGTAAGTTTTGGTGTGAAATCTTTGTTACCAAAATGATAAAACTTATTTTAACATATACGAGAAAACAGCAAGATTTTGCAGATATTGACAATATAAGCACATACAGGTCAGACTCTTAAATCAACTTGATTTCCAGGAGCTTGTCTTTGTGTGCCAGTGCTGTTGAACAACATGCAGCGATGTGGAGTCCTTTTAGATTGTGTCTATTTTTTTCAGTTAAAATGCATTAGTTCGAAGTAATGAGGGGACATTTAATGCTCCTTAACCTATATTGTGTGTGACAAAAATAGCACCAATGCTATGCTGAAAGCGATTTTTCGAGTAATTTACCTTTTTGCTAATTTAATGATTAGAAAAAATCATTAACTTTTGTCTCCCTGTTTCCTAACAATGAAGGTTTAGGCTGATCAAATGTGTTGGAAGGGTAATCTCTGCACGTTAATCTTTTGCATGTTTCAAGTTTCCATTTTCTTAGGTACTCATATCCGGTTTTGTGGAGACAATAGGCCGATTGTTTGGGAGTGTAAAATTGACTGACATGTAGGTCTTTTCCACACAAACTTAACACAGATGTGGATCTTAGTCCTGAAGGACTAGTGGTGATCAGAAACACGCCATACAACCTCTTTTTGAATGTGATATTGTTTAGAACTCAACACCAAAGATGGACTCAAGAGGGTGCCCCTTCACCCTGTCTTTTTCCAAACAGTTACATGTTGTTTTTTCCCGTCACTAACAACCTCACACGCACACACACATATTATGTGACAGTAAGCCTTCCGGAAAACAGTTATGATGGGGGAGGACAGCTCCTTAACATGCTGCCTTTGCCCCAACCTTTAAATGAATGAATGTGAGCCTAACTGAAGTGTCTCCTTCCCACCAAACAGCTGCTACCACCTTCCCTCCCACTCTCATCTTTCCCTTTGGCCATTTCACTCTTACCTACCAGACCATTTTGAAGGAAACAAGACTTTGCACTTTGCAGCTTTCTTCCACCACCCCTGTCTTTTTTGTCACTTATATGATTCCCTACAATCTGATGCTGCAGCTGTAAGATGGCCAGACTCATAACCATGTGCTTTTACTGAGGTCTCTTGTCAATGAAAGCAGTGGGTTTTTGGACACTTTTCATGTCACAGAGCCCTTGCTGCGCAATGGAAGGACGGAAAGGAGATTGAGTAGGGACAGATAGATGCAGCAAGGGGCAAAAGAGACAGCAGGTTAGGACTGAGTGCCATTGGAGAGTTGAAAAGCCTTGTTGCATCCCCACTCAGCCGGTTTCAAAGGGATCAATGGGGTGCTAAAAGCACTCAGGAGAGAATGGAATGTATCTTTTTTTAAAGAATTGGGAATTCAGAGTGATGGGAAGATGTAGAAAGAAAAGCTCATGTCATGTTCATGTCTCTTCTATGCTGTCAATCATTGTTCTTGTGCTTTTGCCACTGACACAGCGACAGGCAATACTGAGATTTGGAAATTATTTCTTGTTTTTAGCCTAATTACAAGGACACCCTGTTGAGTGAAAAAGGCCACACTGAACACGTCTTTTTCTTAATTACAGAATTAGTTATATTATCTACCTATGAGATCAATTTATTTAATTCTGGCATTTTATTTAGCTGTTTTTTTCTTTGTTAGCTGATATCACAAATCTGACTATAACAAAGTACTGGGTGTAAAATCCATTCTCATATATATATATATGTACACATAAATAAATAAGTTAAATGGCAGTCACAACCTGTCGCGATGTACGCCACTTCTAGCTCTCTGGCAGCTGAGGAAGGCTCCAACTCCCCACAATCCTAAATGGATAAGGAAGATATAGAGAGTTGATGTTTGGGAAGTTGGACAAGACTGTATGTTTGAGTTAAAAGCTTTTATGCTTTTTACTGGATTGCAAATACAGCCAACAAAATGTTGTAGGGATCTGCCACAGCCATTCTACTCTCCATTCATCATCTGAAAAAAAGTCACTCTTCAAATCATCAAACAGTAACTCTGATTGTTTTACTTTTATGTAAATGCACAATGTACTTTACAATATTGGGTTGAATGAAATTGATTAAAAAAAAAAAATTCTCATAGTAAATGGACTTGTTTTGTAGCTGTGGAGATATAGTCGTTTTCCGTGCATTTTCTGTTTTTCATTTTCAGACCTTTTTTTCACTGGTCAGACTGGATAACTTCCTAATTAATTTTTTCAAGATCAACATGTAATTCTATTTTGTTCCAGTATTATTCACTTTTGAATTGACATTCATCCAGTCTCTTCCCCGATGCCACCAGTTTGCTGAACAGTGGACTACACCACCCTATGATTTATTCATCCAGTTGTGTACAAATGTACACAACTTTTTACATGTTTGATTTTTTCTCTTACTTTAAGTTTTGGCACCATTCAGCACAAAAATTTTGCGGTCCTATAAAATATTCTTTCTTTGTGTTTTTTCATTCTGATTCTGACATATCGCCTTTTCGGGCTGCTTTGAAATAAACTTTTATGGCCATTTTATGGTAAAATCTACCTTATTCTTATTTTTCCCCGATTTCAGAGTGAGTTTGGTTTGCAACTCATTCTTTAGAGAACAATCAGATGCAGCACGTTACGTTTTTCTGGATTTGTTCTTTATTTCATCACATTACATCAGAGTGCTATCATCTCCTTTTTTTGTATGTGAAAATGACATTTATCTTTTTTGAAGTGGCAAAATCCTTTTTCCTATACACCTAAGCTTCTGTTGACCCTGTACTATTCATATGGTATTCATACAGTATTTATTCTCCATATCAGATTCATCTGCCCTTTCCAGTTAGGATCTCTCCATTTTTATGCATGGAATTTAAAAGGATCTACAGAAGTATAAGTAAAAGGGAATAAAATCCTTACACCACAGTGTTTTTAATAAAATAAAGTTTTGTGAATAACAGACCTTTTGAGACACCAACAACCTTAGCTGACATGTAATTAAAGTTAGGGGTTACTAGTTGACTGACTCTGTTTCATACTGGACGATTAAAATGAGGAAAGAGACAGGTAGGGTGAGATGAGGTCTTTAAGGTAGGGTGCTGATGAAATTTTCATGCCCCATCTCTCTTTAGTTCCAGTCTGTAATAAATAAATTGGAGACAGAGTTTCTTTGCATCAACTATGAGTGTCACCAGAGATATCTTGGCCCCTGAAGAGGGTTGAATCCATTTGCATAAAGAAACCAGAAAGCTACTAGACCTTTTTGGATTTGGTTGACATTTTAGTGAAAGAGAGGGAAAGTGAAAGGTGAAGGGTGAGGTTTGTGAAATAGCAGAAAAGCGTGTCAGCAGACCCACCCAAAGAGATGATAAACTGTCTACATGCTGACAGGTTAACATGTGTGCACACTCAGCATCACGCAAGCGTACACAATCACAAGCAAATTAATTTACGACAAGCTTGTGTTAAAAAGACAGAAAAGACTAAAAGCACTCACTACCATCACGTGAAAAAGTTTAAAATCAACTCTGTATTCATAAATAGATGTCTTATATGTGTTACATGTAGTATATCATATCTGCCTGTCAGAGTTGTGTTCAATCTCTAACATTAACCTCAAATTGGCTTAAACTGATCATGTTTTTTTAAGGAAATCATGACGCTGCTGTCACATTTCACTGCTTTTTAAGTCTTTAGCCTAGTTAACCTGTAAAAAACCTCTGTTTCCTACTTCCGCTGCTAAATAGCGCTGAAGGAAGATGAGTAACTGAAAAGAAGAGCTTGAGAAAAAAAATATAGCATACGGTACCACTTTCTTACAGTCTAAACATTGATCCCATCACTTCAATGACTGGACAAAGTGGCAATTCCGTGGTTGAACATAACTGATTGAGCACAGGCAATCACTCATGGCCTCTTCATCACTGTAGGCATTGACATGTTTGTGACATCAATGTTTTTGCAGTATAATGAGAACTCCAACACGTATGGCACTCAAGGTTCTTTGTGTTTTTTTTGTGTTATAAAGGTCACTGCCTTTAAATACCTTAAAGGCCAGGCCGTGGATAGGTATCCACACAAGTGCAGCAAAATAGAATGAATTGATAAAGATATAGACTTTATGGATTGCTTTGATGTTGCTTTTCTTTTTTTCCATTCTAATTTTCTTTACTCTATTTCTTTCTTTCTTTAGGAAGAAGAAGAGCACAGAAAACAAGAAAGACGAATTGAGCGAACAGAGCCAATTGGGAGGGCTGACTCTTCACTGGAGGGTTCACCTGTAATAAATCTTGAGTGAGTTATTTCGTTCATAATACATTGCCCCCTCTTATACATCAAACATCACTGCATGTCGTAAAAGTTGTTTCTCTACATTACCAGAAAAAAAAAGAAATTGTAGAAATCAAAACTAATTTATGTCCATTACTACAATACTTGGAATAGTGTCCTATACATTTAAATTTTGTTTGAAATAATGCAGTGGGTGTTAAGATTTCTCAGAAGACTGATAACTAAACAAAGCTACACATCAAGCCCAAGTTCCTCATCTCTAAGCAATATCTCTCACATTTAAGGTGATGGTTGCTCATGTTCATTTGTCCTCACGTCTTTATCTACACAAATTAACCTTCTTTTCCTCCACCCCACTCCCCTTACACATTTTCAATTAATTTGTTCTCTTTTAGCAGTCTGATCTTAATCACTTAATTGCAATGTCCATTTGGATCCCTAATTGACCCTGAGGTCCACAAACCAGACTATGTAATGGATGACTGTGTAGGGAACACAATGCAATTCCACGGCAACAAGGCTGAGCCAACCCGTACCCGTCCATCCTATCGACCTTTTGACTTGTTTGACTGCATTGTCTTTTACACTCTGCATTTCTTGATTTTCTTTGTCACCCCATTATTTTTTTTCATGCATATCTCCCCATGACTTACTCTTTTCCTCCCTGTTTCATCCATCAATGTCTTGTAGAGCCATGCTCAAGCCAGTCAAAGTGTCTAATGAAGGAGGGCCCCTGGGAATCCATGTAGTCCCATTCGGTTCACAGGATGTCAGGTAAAAACATAAATTAATTTTAAAAGTGTGTGTGTGTGTGTGTGTGTGTGTATGTATGTACATATATATATATATATATATATGTGTGTGTGTGTGTGTGTGTGTGTTGTATATGTCTTAATAGTATATGTAGTAATTTAAAAAAAGATCTTTTAAATTGTGAAGATATTCATAGTGTTTTCTTTTACATAACTTTAAGTGATAGGAAGTGTCACTGACAGGGGCCATAAGGGGTTGCATTGAAGTTTATGGTTCTTGAAAAGGTAAAGGACATAGAATCTGGCCAAATGTAATCAAACTAAAAGCTCACGTAAAACACAAATTCCTGCTACTCACAAGGGGATTGGCACCACTCCAAGGTGAATGTGACGACTCAGCGCAAGAAAAGAAGGATAGAAAGGATAAGGTGAAAAGACATAGTGAGGGAATGAAATGGGATGATATCTGAAGGAAGAGAGGAAGTCTGTCATTGAAAAAAATGATTGCCTGAGTAAGTCATCTCAAAGTTGTTTACAGACAAGTGTCAGGAAGCTATATTTAGTCATAACCTCATGTAAACTCCCTCAGAAGCTTGGATACTTTCAATTTCCCTGAGTCAGACAAGAAAAGAAAAACATAAAAAAACATCCATCCATCCATTACCGTTACCGGTTATTCCTTAATGGGGTCGCGGCGGGGAACTGGAGTCTATCCCAGTGGTCAATGGGTGAGAGGCAGGGAACACCCTGGTACGCCAGTCCATCACAATGCACGGAAAAAAACAAAAATCGCACAACAATTTATTTGAAGTTGCTCCAAACAAAACGTGTCTTAGAAATATTAAGTCAAGCAGTTAGTGAGCAAATTATTGCCCTTAAAGCTTCCCTGCTATATTGTGAGTCAGACAGCTTTGTATAAGAACTAGGTGTAGTGCTGTTCAGCCATTAAATTTTCTCTCCATCAGCTTTTGTAGCATTAGAAGCTATCAGAGCCTTCAGTTAAATCCAGTCATGATAAGAGAAGTGTTTGGTCAGTGGGTAGATGCTAATGGTCCAGCCCAGCTCTTTCCTGTATGCAGTGCACTAGGGGAGGCATTAAACTCAGACTGTCATTAGTGTCTAGACCAGAGCAACAGGGGTCAGACAAAAAAAAAAACCTCAAACAACAAAAAAGCACAGGTATTAAGGAACTGCAGGTACTCGAGAATTGACCATACACATATGGCTTTGCTGTTCTAACACTCAAATGAGATCCGGGCACAAGGGAAAGACAGCAAAAAGAGAGCACTTGGAGACTGTGTCACTCCACATTGAAAGTGTCTCTCTCATACACAGATATCCATCCTCACAATTTCTCACCTGAGAAAGAAACTTAGATCCAAACAGTGTATGTGCAATATGGGCCTTGAGAAGTGTCATTCCATAAAATCTCTTCACAGACACACTGTTCCTGCAGCAACGCTATTACTTTACACAAAGACACCTTATGTGCTTAATAAACTTCTCATTCTATGACCAGTTTCAATTGCAAACAAATTGCTGATTCCAATAACCGTGCATAAATGGATCCTGATTGAATTGTTATTCGATTAACGACAACAGATGAGGGTAGGCGGCTGCCTTCAAATAATTATTTTTATTTGTTAGACACTTGTAATTACAAAGTCCTTCCTCTTATGTCTGAAACGTAACAATTTCACTGACGTGCATCTCATAAAAGAGTTCTCATTCTATCTTCACTGCAAATAAATGCCACTCCATTCACACGTTTAGTAATTGGGAGGCTGGCTTTACATTTAAATAAAAAACAACTTATAGTACCTTTACAAAATCATCGTGTTTTTTTAGCTCTCTTAAAGATGGTGATTTGTCTCCGATGCTTTCTGCTTCTGCTATGAATACTGATCAGGCATCGACCAAAACTCCTTTATCCACTCTATCTAGTCTGCTGGCATATCAGAAATCATTAGTGTATGACCATGCTGTTATCTCTTTGTGCAGTACTTTGTCTTCAAGCTGGCAACACCTATGGAGATAAGGCATATTCATGTCTGCTTCCACATTGCCTGCAATTACTCTCCCCTCAACATCCTTAAGCTGACTTGGCAATGCAGGCCTGGACACAGAGAAAGAGGGAAGGGCCTTTTGTGATCTTTAATTTCTACTTAGTGCTTCACCATTTACCCCCATTGAGGAGCTTAGATGAATCTGCTGTGTGAACGTGAACGTCCACATTATGCAGCCAATTACAGCAATGTTCTGAAAGTGGCCTTGTTTGGCTCACATGATAAAGAGCTCCACACCTCTTCTATCGACACTATGGTAAACAGGGTCACAACTTAAATATGCTTTTATTTAAGCAAGTATTACAAGATTCATGCTGCCATCGCTCTTTCCCTGAAATGGATCTTTATGGTTTTTGGTCTGACCATTAAAGTTTGAATCTTTATCTCAGGAAAGGAACACTAAGATTTGCAAATCAGGCTTCTTTACCTTAAAAGATGAGCCAGAATTGTTGTTGTAAGAGTTCCCATTTGATATCTGCATGCATATTTAAGTACAAAATAAAGCCCAGCGGAACACAGTGGTGTGTTTTTTTTTGGGTGGAAGGAACTCAGACATTTGAGGGTTATTTAAAGGTAAAAATAAAAGTAAGACTGTCATGAAAGCCTTTCTGATTTTTATAACAGCACAGAAAAATCTCATCTTAAGCTTGAGGGACTGCAAATGTAGCATTACCATGGAAGGCAAAATCCTATTTCCAGAGTTTATGACAACAAAGGCTTGAAATCAAGTTAGTAAGTTTGCAACCATAGAATAATGCAGACTTGTATCCATGCTGAAAGTATCACAGTCAAACTTTTTTGACACAGCGGAACATTACAGTATAGCTAAACTTTTCAACTTTTGATACAGAAAAACCTTGTGATTGCAATGATGTGTAGCATTTTGTAGCTCATTTCTTTTATAAAAGGATGAATCAAGTCCATCAAAGGTCAAACACGAAAAACAAGCATCGAGCTCACACTTATGAGAAATTAGAATCACATTACATTAATGTTTTGGATAGTTTAGGGATTCTGAAACTTGCTCACACTATAGAACAAGCAAAGTCCATACAGGAAGAGTCCAGTTAATATCCAGTTAATATAACTGTACTACCAACATGCCTCTCTGCTCTTATGACTCTTTTGGAGCTCGAACAACAGTCAAATTCAATTCTGATTACCTCCTAGATTTTTTAAAGAGTTTCATAAGATATAGTCATGAATCTTATAGGAATTAATCTTATGTTTAATGCTGATTTATCCCTTGTCTTCAGCTCCTCATCTAATTCATATATGTTGTATAGCTATTGCCATGGTTGTCTAAATATGTCTTTGTTACAAGCTGTGTATTTGTTGGGGATGCTGACACATCGAAGTGTTTTTGACAAGTCAATGAACCAGACATTGCCTACCTATGTGTCAATCAGTGTATGCATTTTTGTGTGAATGCATAAAAAGAAGCACTGTATAGCCCATAAGGCTTATGTTTGCTGTATGTAAGATTGTGTAAGTGAATGTGGAGTGCAGTGTTAAAGTGCTTTGAATAGTCAGCAAGAATAGAACAACACAACAAATGTGCATTTTCATTTCATGTATGCAGGACCCAAGGCTTGCTTGTGAAGCGTTTGGAGGCTGGGGGCAAAGCTGAGAAAGAACATCTCTTTCAGGAAAACGACTGCATAGTCAAGATTAATCATGAAGACATTCGCAACCTACGCTTTGAACAGTAAGTTTTACAGTTTCAAAAGTACTGGCAGTTGTCACATATTCTTCTTTGAAAATGATTCCATATGGAGCCTGTTATTATTTAGCGTGTTTTGGCTCTAAATGCTCTTCTTTCCTCTTCATGTTAAACTGGCACATTTTGACTTCTAAATCTCGGTTTTTCAGAAAAAGTTATAATATAATGAATATTTTCACAGAGTGATGCAGTTTTGACTTTGTAGTTGCACCACTTTTTTAACATTTATGCAATGATGAAGAATAATTTCTGTCAATAACAAATTAAAAGGCCTTCTTAGTAGATAGATAGATAGATAGATAGATAGATAGATAGATAGATAGATAG